AGATTACTTCTGCGTCCGTGGCTTCGAGGATGACATGGTGGATGTGGCATAGTACCAAGGAGAGCGGAGTGGTCAAGTCTTCAAATGGCGTAGACTTCATTATAGTGTCTAGTGTGCGTAGAGCGGTTAGACAAGTATCTGGGTCTTGAGCTGCGAGAAGCATCAGAGCGTCGCTAATGCTCTGATATTCGTCTGAGACCATGATGCCAAGTGAAGTTTCCTGCATGATTACGCGGTCAATGATGAAAACTTGAGCCAAGGAACTGCGAAACAGATCGTCTCCGTGATGCTCACTAGGTCCGATATTGAATTCAGGACCGATAGAGACGGACCCGGCAAGGTCAGCCCAGTTATTCAGCACCGAGACGGCATTCGCCTGGCGGAGCATACTCATGCCACACAAACCGACAACATCTAGGAAGGCGGATTTGACAAATAGACAATTGCTCGAGGCGTACCATATGGGTGCATTTCTGCAAATCTGTTGCATCATACTTGCGAAGCAGTCCAGGGCTGTCGATGGTTAGTTTGATTGTGGGACTGAATGCAAGAGAAAACCCACTCAATTGATTCGAGTTACGGAGTGTCTTTTTCAACAGATACTTCACCACCAGAAGCATTCCATGCTGTTCATTGCGGCTGGTATGGGCATTGTCCAGGATGAGACCAAGAGCCTCAACCCCCTCGTTTGGGGAACACAGAGACACATAAGTTCTTGCGGCCATGTCTCGCATGTGCCAATGCGGGCTTGGAATAAGCTCCTTCACCAATTCCTGCATCTTTGAAATATATTCAGGTGGTGGTCTTGCTTGACGCAGAATCTGGAGAGCTGGAAAGACACCCTCAGCGCCGTGAAGATCAAGAGGCGAGCTGCCCGTCTCAGGCATGTCCATAATCTTCCGGTTGCCGTTCGGCTTGAGTAGATCAAGCAATATTGTGACGAGGCTGGGGTAGTTATCGTAAGAAAAGCGTGATGTCTTTGCTCGATCGCGTTCTTTCCAATCTTGAGCTTCGTCACTGCCAAGCAACCTCTCTATGAGGGCTTTAAATAGCATTAGACTACAGTTGCGAAGCGGCCATCTATGATAGAAGTCAGTGTGAGAGCCAAAAGAAGATTAGACTTTCTTACATAGGTGAGCTGAGTGTTTTTGCGGCCAACTCGAGACCCTGGCCAATGTATGCTTCGGAAACGACACTGAGCTTCGATGTGGTAAATATCTCCTTGATGCAATTAAGTGCATGTACTTGTGGAAGACGGCTTTCTTCAATGTTTGCGCTTCGCGCTTCGACCAGTGTCTCTGCAGTAAGATCCTTCATTGCCCGAGGGAAGAGGTTGCCGTTTGTCTGTGGCTCCGCAGCCAAAAGGGCTGACATGGCCGCCGGTATACCTGCAGATCTCCGAGTGATGGCGTCTGATTTGTCTTGAATAGATCGCAGGGTTTCCTGGCATATGTTAAAATCTATGTTTTGGAAGGTCATGCAGTCTCTTCACGTACCTGATACCACGCTTCTGGCAGCGCGCGAAGAGAGGAAATACTCGATATTACGCAACGACGACAGAAAACTGCAAAGGTTTGGGATACAGTCGAAAAGGCACCTCGATGCCGCAGCTCTAATAGCTGGGTAAAACATAGCCGCCCTAGTTTTTCGAAGAGCTGCGGTGTTACAAGATCACCCTCTGCATCACCCACGGGGGCCTTTGAAATGATGGTTCTAAGTAAGACACTACAAGATGTTAATGAAACTCCTCAGTAGTTACCAAATACTCACCTTGCTTCTTTGAGACCTCTCCATGAATAGCTCAGAATCTCCTTGGTATCTAAGCTTCCCTCGTCCTCCAACTCGTCAGGGATATGCCCTTCTGGCGCATCTGCACATAGGACGTGGTAAACGCAGCCCCATAGGCTCTCGATACTTTCTACAACATCGCCATGAAGACTTTTCCAATTGGTAAAGGCACCTGGCGACATTTCTGATACGAAAGCATAGAAGTCAGGCTGGTCCACTACATATCGCAATGCCGCAAAGATACCATGTACAGGCCGGCCATCAACAGCCTGTGAAAGGTCATTATGTGCTATAGCTAATGTTTCCTTGAGCTGCTTCTGGAGATGCTCAAAAATTTGGAACTTCGTAGAGAAGTAAGAACTCCCTAGAGTTACTTCTCCGTTCTCTGCGGAGCTGAAGATCATTCCATAGGCTCGAGCAACACCATCCGCTTGGTCAGCTCGTCCGGTCTGGAGCATGACGGTCTCTGCTCGTACGATGAACGGGGGAACTGCCGACATCACACGTCTTTTATCCGATTCCGGTAGAGCTGATAAGCATAGCTGTAGAACTGACACGGCCGCATCGCGAACGTCATCAAAGGGGTCTAGTATCAGATCCAGTAGCGTTCGCACCAGATTCTTGTTTCCAATCTGAATTCCATGGGCCCAGTTCAACTGCCCTTGCGCTGACTTTGAGAGACTATTGTATGGAACGCCAGGATCCACGCCTGAACGTAGCACAATGATAAGAGACCTGAGGGCTGTAATACGACTCTGATAGGATGCGGTTGGGCGCAGTTCCCATTCGAGAAACCGTATATACCAGACAACAAACGAAAGTGACTCCAGAAGCGAGTCTTGCTGCTTGGGATGGGAAACGGAGAGACCGGAATCGAATGCCGCTTTTGGAAAAGGCAGTCGCGTTTGATCAGCAACTTTGTTTTTCAGCATACCCTTCGAAAGAGTGGCTGTGCTTGCCCTTAGGCGGTCGAACAGCTTTTGTGTATATCCATGTACCTCTCTTCGAAAGTTGGCGTCTGTATCGGTGTGTAGGTGGATGAGGTTACGCTTCAATGCTTGAAAGACGCTGCTGCTGACAACTCTTGTGACAGAGGTTGAGTAGACTGAAAGAAACATCCCTGCAAGCCTGACTTCGGGCTCGGGATCAGTCATCCATTTGCCTGTGATGTTGTCAGGCAGATAGACAGCGCCATCGCGAATTTCTATGCTACTCCGCACTTTTTGATCTGAATGGCTAGTAAGTAAATGTTCGAACCCATCAATACCGAATCAGGGTGCCGTATTCTTACCGTTGTCCTTTACGATAGTGAGCTCTTTACCAGTCACAATCGCTGCAAGCAAGATTCTGAATTCCATTGGCCCATCGATATATGAAGTAAATCTGCTAGGCTCCGATAGTTCATCCGGTAATACACCATCGTGCGGAACGTATGAACCGAAGTGAAGGTACGATAGAAACTGGGTGTATTCGGCAATGTTTGGTAGGAAACAGTGAGGGAATACATGGGTCTTGAACTCCTGTATCCTATCCGGCCAGTCTCGTAAAGTTTCCGCTACTGGTTCTATCCAAAGCGGTATGTGCTTGCTATTGGCCTCCTGCTTCCAATAGTCTGGAGAGCTGCGGGCCTTTGTGAGGAAGTTCTTGATTAAATGACCTGCAGATAGGGAGGTGTCATGGTGAACGACCCAAGCAAGAAATGACAAAAAAACCGTCTGGGAAGTTGCGACATCTTCGGCTGCACCAGATGAGTGCTTCGCCTGTTTTCTGAAAAGATCCACTAGCCCCGATACTGATACTACTTCCTTGAGCAAGAAGTGGGCTAGACCTTGTAAAGCTGGCTTCACTTTGATCCTATCTTCACGCTCACAGATAACATCCAGAAAACAGGCTGTAGCTTTCTCTCGAAGCTCGATCGCGCGTAGGCTTTGGTCTCTGGTAATAACACTTGTAAGGACTAGAAGCATCTGCCTCATCGACTTGCCTTTTGCGTCGCCGGATCGCTGAAGATAGATGTTGAAGGCTTTCATGAAAATTGAATCATTTAGAATTTCTTCCCGCGCATACTGGCACTTGGAAGTCGTGCAATGCTCAATGATTGCACATAGTGCATTCGAGGCAGCCGCACGATGACTATTCTCCAAATCTGCAAGGTCCGCAGTTTCCAGGACTGGGGATAGAATTTTGTGAAGATTTCTAAGACTCCGTTAGTCTTGTTCGACACTATCAAAGCAAAGCTCACGGACTTTGCATGCTTACTTCACACCAGCAGCCGCCTCTTCCTCTTCGAAATTAGGCAGGACCTTGGCTACATTTTTTGCCAAATCTCTCAGTGCCTTGTCAGGCAATGGTATTTCGGGGCCTTCGGATACTCCTTGGGTCATTTTGGAGAAAAGGTTCACAATTCAATGTTGCAAGTGCATCGGAGTTGATACAATTGATGAGCGTGGTTTCCTTCAAGGGTGTGGGGGCATGATGACTCAGCGGCAAATCCTGCAAATTCGGCAATCGACACTTGATACATCTACGAGGACGAGTATGCCCAACCCGAAATCGGTTAGTGCGACACACTTGTCAACTTCTAAAGTAGTGCCTGACTCAGGATACTATGTGACTTCCTTGTAATTCACCTTTCATTTGCTGACCTATGACTATGAGTAGCAACATGCTAGCAAGAAACACACTCAGTTTAAATTCTGTCGCTGTTGTCTTTCTCTTGTAAACACGGTGGCACTGGAGGAGATCCGGTCGGACGGTTAGAACTTCTTCTGTGCTCTCATGTTTGGCGGCGGTTCGATTTAATTTCAGGCATCTGACTCTCACGAGAGAGAATCACCAAGATAGACACATCGATATGCGTTCCGTCAAGAGATCTCTCACCTCGTCTGCCTGTCCCTCTTGCAGTAGTTCTAAAACAACTATCAACTTCTAGGCTTTTGATATTTTCGGGGGGCCTCACCAAGTGAAGTCAACTTTACTAAGTCTTACCTTGTTCTTAGTGCCCCACGAAGTCCAAGCTTTAATACGGCTTTGGTATGTCTCTGGCAGCTAGTTCTGTATATCTCATCTATAAGCCCGGTGAGCCCATTACTACCGAAAGTACATAGGTATTCTGCAAGCCCAGAAATCGAATCGAAATCCCTTTGCAAAGTGTAGAGAAATCATCAACCCTTCGTACAACAAGTAGATAAGATCTCTGGAAGGCTGTTGAGATGCCATCCCGAGATAATTTTTCTGCATATGCCGCTAAGCCAGATGCTGCTACGTCAAAGAAGCGGCCGTCGTCAATAGACACTTCTAGCAGTGCTGTGAAGCGACCGAAGACTAAAGGCGGCTTTGTATTGGATAGCGATGATAGTGATGAAAACGACGTGAACGAAATGAAGGATCATGTTTATGCTTCTCCGAGGCCAGCTTCGCCACAAGGCACCTTGCAGACAAAGCTTACTCCAAAATCCCTCCGAACAAAGCAGCTCAATAAGATTCGTATTCAGGCGCTCCTGGGCAAGAACAAAAAATTGGACCAGAACACACGAAAGACATTACCACCGAGTCAGGCTCAACAACCTTTGCAACAATCTGTGAGTACCGCTTCTCATCCAATACTACCAGTACCTACCAAGAGCCCACAAGAAAACCTCGTCCCGAAAGAGCAGAATGAAAAGGCGAAGTTCTCTCAAAAGTCTGGGAAAACTCTTCCTATATTTAGTGAGATGGGCGCTTTGAAGCAGCTGAACGCTGTAAAACCTAGGAGCGGAGTTGCTATATTCGAGAATACCGAAGAAAAACCCCCATTTATCCAAGGAATTCGTCCGACCACTCTTGATAGACAATCAAATAGCGACTCGAGTTCCGAGCGACAAGCTTTTGGCAATTTTGGCGCTTTTGAAAAGCCCACAAGACTTTCTAAATTAGCCCAATCTTCCTCGAAGCAGCCTTTACCAAAATTGGAGGCTGATGGCATTCTCTGTGGTGCTGGAGATATCAATAATGCAAGCCCCAAGAAACAGAATATGTTTCTGACCAGCGCTAGGATGGATGTAAAGGCTGGTGAGGAAAGTCCAGATTGCACGCCTGCAACTAGCGTCGTCTCTGAAATGGGTTCAACAGTAGATGCTGACAAAGTATCTCCACCAGTTGTTCGTGTAGGAATCCCAGCTACCCAAGCAAACAGCACCAAGGCTTTAGATCTTAGTCAATCTTCTGGAATTTCCACAGATGCAATACCTTACTTTGAATATTCAATCTTCCAAAAGCACTGGTACGGCAAGCAAGGCGAGAAAGAGGCTCTGATCAGTGAAATAACTGTACGTCCGTTTACTAGTATGCTTGATGCAAATGCACAGGCGGAGAGGTATTTCCAGAGCAAACAACAATACTCGGGCTACATGACCATTGAGCAGAACAGCAAGCGAGACGAACACGGCTGCATGGTTCTGACTAGCACCATGACGCCTTTTGAATACTCGACTAAAAAACACTACACACAAATATATGTCCAACGTGATTACGTTTCAGAGTTAGCAAACCAGACACCTCGTTCCGTCGAAGATGCATCCTTCATATCGGATACTGGCTACATTTTGAGGTTGTTCAAGCTGATCGACTCTGATGACTCCGACGCAAATTCCGATGCGGAGTCAGGTAGCGGCAAAGGCAAGGCTAACGAGCCTGTTCGTGTATACCGTCCTCATGGGCGTCCGGAGGTGTACACTACCTTACGAGCTGCCAACTATGCTGCTAGAAACCTTCAGATCGAGCTTGGCCACGAAGAGGATCCGAAAAATGCAATGACCAAGATGTATCAGGAACAGGACTTGAAGAAACTCAACGAGAAGGCACGTGCACTTGAGGTAGCCAGAGAAGGTGAAAATAAGTGCTGGCACAGCAAGTTCAACACCCGCGGCTTGGGAGGAGACAAACTTGAGCTGGTGGTGGAGAAGGCAGGGATCTACGGACCGAGGAATATTTGATGAGCGTGGCTGGAGAGGAGACACCCAGGAAGCGGTATTGCGTTATGGTACTGTACAAGAGGGTGAACGGGAATAACTGGGTGTGCTCCTGGTGCGATTCTCATATGGCATCTCATACCTCTATGAGATCTTGCTACATCAAAAGGGCTAACTACATTAAATCATTTACTCCATATCATTTCATGTTTGGTACAGAAGAAGAGAACAGAAAAACAATATACATCTACATAACATACCCTCTTCTAAAAGTCTTCTTCTACCTCATCTAAGCCACACAAAGCACCCAGCTAACATTGCCGCCACGCGAGCGTCCAGCTCGCATGCTTGAAATCATACTTCCCAAACTCGCCCTGCACAACCGGTCGAAAGTTGACATTCAGAATCCCCGGGTTGCCATCTGACCCTGTGCACCTGGACCACTTGAGATCCGAAGCGCTACTCCGCACTGTAACGTAATCCTTGACGTCTGGTCCCGTACTCATCAAGCCACCTGAGAGAAGACCCTATTGTGGGGGGAAAGCAAACATCGTCAGTTATGTTATCCTTCCTTTCTTCTTCTTCGGAGAACAAGGTATACTACAACCAACTTTTCAAGTCCCAAGAAAAGAAAGAGAAAGGAACTCACCGTGTCCCCCGCATTCTCGCTCCAAAAAACCTGCGTGAGCGTATTCAGTCCGCTGTTTCCTTTCAACTCCACATTGCCAGCGTAATCCGCCTGCTTGAGCGCAACCTGCCAGCCGGGACTTGCGCCAGAAGACTGAATGTGTACGCCACAATTGTTTGTCGAGTCGCCTTTGAGCTGGGAAAAGGACATGCCGGCCAAGTCCCCGAGAGTCGTCGTGTCGGACTTTACGGAGCCCGAGTCGTTGGGGCAGCCCGAGCCGGAGAAGACGAGGCGCGTTATTGTTGGGGGAGTAGGGGGAGCGGCGACGGCGAGGAGCGCGAGGCTAAGAAACGGAAAGATGCGGGCGTGCATTTTCTTTTTTTTGGAATCGGTAGAGAAGACGAAAGGGGAAAAAGGAAAAAGAGGTGATGGCAAAGGCGGTCTGCGAGAGAAGAAAAGGATGGAAAGAGGGAATGTGTTGTCCTTCTGGTAATGGCTATCAAAACTTGATGGTAAAAAGAAAACTTCCCTTTCTCGATCTTTCTCAGCAATGAAAAACCAATAAACCCACCCTCCTTTATATACCCCCCCTTCCTTTTCATCCGGATCTTCTCCCCTCTCCCTTACTGCTCAATCTCCGCAATTACTTTATCATCCACTTTACTCCCCTTTCCTCTCTAGTAAACTGTAAAGAGGAAGAAAAATCCCGTCCCTGCAGATTCACCCACTCAACTTTTGATATCGCTCTCCCGCCACCGCATATAGAGCCATTCCCCCGCCCTCTAATATAACGCTCCGTGTGTTGCGCTCTGGCCCACGTCCCATCCGGCCCTTACGAGCATTTATCCAAATTAAGCGAGCAGACGGAGTGGCCAATCAGCGTTGCGGCGGCGCCTGTGTACCGCGACAACGTTTGTATAGTGTAGGCCTTCTAGAACGTCTTGTCCGGAATTTAAAAATTATATTTAGTCTTTTGCCTTCCTTACTGCCCCGCGGTCTATTGAGTGTGGGTGATTTTGAGGCATTGGCGTGGCGTTGATGTGCTCTTAGAGGCAAAACGAACAGCATATTGACGAGTAAGCTCTGGTCTTCTTTCCTGCTGTACTAGGTTCCCGTGGAGAAAAAAAAGAGATGCGTATTACAGTTGTTACCCTTTAAGAGACAGATGAGCGTCTGGGCATCGTATTCGATATTCGTGGGCTGGAAGCGCCTCGCCACTTCCTTCGTATTAGCAATGTAAGACCAGATTAACTTTATACAATACGATATGCTTCACTGCATGAGAGGTTCAATGCCGGTGGAAAAAAAATAGATTCATTATCTACTTTCGTAGGATGCCGCTTCAATACTGTATGTGAACCAAAAACTTGATGCCATTAATAAAACGTGTCCATGCGGTAAATCATTGTCGGATATCGTACAAGCTCCTTCGCCGAAAGCGCCTCGCTATATGCTATTTTGTGGAAAGAGTGTGTCGGAAATGTCAATATACAAAAGCCAAAGTCCACCTTCTTATTCTCCAAGTCTTTTTGCATCTTCTTTTCGAAAGCGTGGCTCTTAGATTTATGGCCTACATGGTCTTCCTGATTCTTCTTCTCTTACGTCCACTGTCGACTTCGACACTCGAACTCATGGTGTCTCTGGCACTGCGCGGTGTTGAGAACCGCTCTTTGATGTTGTCTCTAATCATCTTTCTCGTCTTGTCACGCTTCAACTGGCGCTCCTCATCTGGCGCGACAAAGCGGTGCACGGTACGATGGTCACGAACGCGTTGTTCTCGGTCATGCTTACCCTCTCTTTCCGTCTTTGGCCAGGGAAAACCATACAACTTGGAGTGACGCTCACACCGTGGGCACTCCTTGCGAGTATTATTACCCTCCTGCTGGACAAAGTCCATTTCGCACGTGTGACAGTTGACCCACTTGGAGCCCTTGGCGGAGAGCACGGCATTCGAAGTCATGTAGTCACCCGGTTTGCGCGTGTTCTCGACATAGTCGGCCTCGTCTCCGTCTTCGATCGTAATGGGCGTTCCGACGCGGTTCTGAACGTCAAAACGCGATTTGGAACGAGTGGTTCGAATAATAGGGCGTGGCTTGCGCTTGACAATCTGCTGATTTCCATCGTCAAATTCGAAACTCTCAGAAAGTTCGCTGAGATCGGACATAGAGTCCTGTTCTGCTGCAGGTAGAGAGGGCCACGGGGCGTTTACCGTAGTCGTAGTAACTTCCTCCTTCACTGTCGTTACTCCCAATGCCGGCTGATCGTGAATGGTTTGTGGATCGACCTTGTCCTTTAATTCACCGCCCTCCTGAACATGATCTTCGTCGATTGATGTGGCATCCGTCGACTCTGAAGACTTGGGTGATGCAGCCGCTATTGACGATTGCGGCGAGATTTCTCTAGAAGAAACGGTTTCATCCGTCCTCACTGTGAGGAAGCCTTCGCGTTGTTGGTTGCGCATCTCGCGCGATATTTGCGGAAGTGCGGCCAAGTTGCTGGAAGGATCTTCGATGCTCGAAACGGCAATTTCCTGTCGTAGTGACGATGTGCTGTGAGCCTTTTTCAGTGTCGTCATTCGCAACAAGTCCGACTCATCGGGTCTTGTCGGCGAGGTCTTTTGTTCAAATTTAGCTCGTTTGGATTCCGGCATGGAGTCAGACTCGGGGTCTTCAATGGCGGAGTCTTCCCACCGCCGCTTTACAGACGTCTGTGTGTCTTCAGAATCGACACCATCCTGCCCATGACTTGTACTTTCGGTTTGCTGAGTAGGTTCCTTGCCGTCGCTGCATTCTACTCGCTTCATTGGTGCCCATCCATTCTGTTGTAAGCTCTCACATGTACTACAAAGACACTCTTCGTTGTCATCGCCGAAATAATCCTCGCCATATGACACAGTAATCTCCTCTCCCTCAGAAATGGGCTTTATTGCAACAATCTGCATGCCGTCGTAACCCTTGGTGGTGAGCTTTGCATTGGCATCACAATCATGGTTGGCGAAGCGTGCTGGGCCCAGAAAGAGAGAGCGTGTCTTCTTTCTACTGGAGATGACTAAACTGAAGTCCTTGCGCTGTAGTTCCAAAGTTTTCTCTTGCTCTTCGGTCATGGCCACCTGGACGCCGGTCAGGTACTTGATCTCCTCACGTGGGTTGATGTCGCGCCGTGCGGTGATTGAGGCTTCGTGCTCTGTGATGGTATAACGATTCGTAGTTGTCACGTCGAACTGGCAGTCGGGCATGTAGATGTTGACATATCTGCGGAGATGTCGCCTGAACTGCTCCTGGTCACGCTCGTCTTTCAGGCCGACCAGGAATCGACGCAGACGAGGCAACTGCAGCAGTTTCTGCACGGCCTCGGCAGGATCTTTGTCCCAGATGACGTTTTGGCGAATGATGTCGGCGACGTGTTCGCCATCCAGGCCACGCAGGCCGGTGAACCGGCCACCTCTGTTCTTGCGGATGGTGAACCAGCCATAGACCTTGTCGATGACAGCATCGGTGATGATGTCGTCGAAAGTCGCGAGTTTGTCCAGCGTGAGCTTGGTCGAGGGCGCCATGGCGGCGCAGTGGCCAGGGAAGAGGATGCGGATGTCGATGAGCGAGCAGATGTGGTATCAGGTGGTGTGGGCAGTGGAAATGGTTGTGGGCGTGGTTGCGAAAGGGGTGGTTGGCAGTGCTCGCTGACGTAAATGGGGGCCGGGTGGTGAGCAGAGGCGCGGCATGCGATCAGTGGCGTACGACTATAACAGCAGGCGCACAGCAAAGAAAGGGAAGGAGCGCCTTACGCAGTGGCAGCAGAAGCAGCAACGACGCGTGTATAGAAAGGAAGGAGTGTCGGGCGCGCACGGAGACGACTAGGATAGAAACGGCTGGATAGTCTGGAGACCGGCGGGAGGACGAGACGAGTGACAGGGCTGGGCTAATACTGGACTGCTGGGCTGGGGCTCAAAGAAGACCCCTGCCCGACCCAGATCTCACGCGCGGCGTGAAGGGGTGCGTAAGCGAGAAGCGAGCCGCCTAGGGCAGTGAGGGCAGAGCGGGCAGAGGACCGGCCGGAGAAAGGCCGGCAAGCAACTTCAACTTCGTCGTGCAACGGCGGCATTGCACGCAAACTGTTTGATCGATAACGCCGCTGCCAGCACACAGTGCACACTGCCGCCGTCGCCAGCAACCAGACAATAGAGCCAAGGCGCACACGATGATTCAACTAAAGGTGTGTCTGCCCATGCCTCAATGAGCATAGCAACATCAACAGCAACAGCAGCTCACATGCATCAAATCCAGTCACTCGTCAATTGCATCGACAACTCGGGCGCCGCAATCGTCGAGTGCGTCAACGTCCTGCGCTCGAAGCGCCCTGCCAAAGTCGGTATGTGCCACCCCAAGACAGAGACAAAGACCGGGGTGGATCGAGGTTGACGGTAGCAGGCGACCGCATCGTCGTGGTGGTGAAGAAGCAGCGCAACTTTGGCCCCGAGACGGGCAACAGCGTGTCCATCAGCGCAGCAAACAAGGTCCGGCGAGGCGATGTGCGGCACGCAGTCGTTGTGCGCACTGCCAAGAAGTGGCAGCGGCCAGACGGCAGCGTCGTCAAGTTCGACGATAATGCTTGCGTCCTCATCAACAAGGCTGGCGAGCCCATCGGATCTAGAGTTAGCGGCGTCGTCGCTGCAGAACTGAGGCAGAAGCAATGGTCCAAGATCTTGTCCCTCGCCCCAATGCACGTCTAAGCCAGACGAGCCATCACAGCAAAATTCAAAAAGCAGCACCTTGCTCACTTCCCATGACTGTATCTTTACACTTTCTCAGAAAGCCCAGGAATAAATGTAATATTATCCTCTTCACGTCACTACGCCATACTCGCAGGCTATCTAAAGGCCCTCTTTTGTTTTTTCCTCCCTAAACTCCTCGCAATATTATATATCTATCATGAGAACAAACGCCAACCGCATGCATGTCATGTCGCAATTCGCCTAGTTGTTGTCGGATGGGCGTGTGACGTGACCGCACCCCGCGCACACGTAGTACAGGGCCTGGTACAAAGTCAGACATGGCCGCCAATCTTGATTGCCTACTCACCATGCCCGTCTCGGCAGTGCGCTGCTGCGACTGGAAAAAGACGGCCTCGTTTTCGCCGCACTCTGTGCACTGTTTCTGCACTCGTGGTAACTAGACGCAGGTACAGTCAGCGAGCACGCTCAAGAGCAAGCAAGCAACTGTACTGGTAGTGATGCGCACGAGGCGCGCATTCAGGGCGTGTGCTTGTCATGCCACATTTCCTCATCAAAGTCGTCGTAGTCGTCATACATGTCCTCGTCACCGCCCATGTCTTGCTGAGCGAATGACGCCTGCGGGTCCTCGTCCTCGGCCTCGAGCACAAAGCCAGGGGCCGGTTCCTCGCCGCACTCTTCACACATGATGGGCATGCCACACATGGTGCAGCAGGGCATCTCTTCACACAGGGCTGCTTGGGCTGCTTGTACATCGGACAGGGAAGGACCAACCGTGGGATCTTGGGCAACCTCCGCTGTCACACCGGCCGTAGCTCCCACCGTCGAAGCGATTTCGTGGCGCATCACGCAAGACGAGGGTGCTTCTTCGGTGAAGTTGCAGGTGCGGCACGCAAAAAGCAACTTGTTCTCGGATTTATCTTCGCGGGGAAACAGAAGGTTGGAGCTGCCTCTGGTCAGCAGTTTCCACCATCTGGCAGGGCGGCAAGGCTCACCATTCCGAGCAAAAGCGGAAGAGAATGGGCTCTTTGCCGCCTTTGACACCGCTCGTTTGTGCTGCTGGGGACGACATGTTGGCGGTGGGGGGTGCTAGACAGTAGACAGGAGGGAGTTCGTCGTGTGCTGGTACACTAGTTGCCGTACGAGGTCGTAGTTTCTGTGCAGTCGCGCCCGTGTTGACAATCGCACGTTATGAGAAGGAACACTTGGGGGTCGAGACATGGGCATGGGCTGACTATGACTGGGCGCGGGCCACCCCACTTGGCTCGCGCCGCCTCTGCCGTGCAGGCCCTTTGTTTGGCAAAGACCCCCCCCGCATTGTCGACTTGGGACTGCCGATCGCCCTGGCCACCGCCTTCAATTCCAGACGTCGCTCCACGCTGCCTCCTTTGACTGCCCCCTGCAAAGACTTCCATCACACTCTGCGCCGCTCCGTCTATACTGCATCAAACTCTGGTCGCGCCCATCAAGACACAAGCAGCAAAAATGGTACGCATTGCGCGAGCCCGTCTCCACGCTTGCCCTTCAGCTGCTCACACGTCATAGTCGTCCGCTGAGACTGGTCTCCCCGAGGGATGGGAGGTGCGCCGCTCGAATACGAAGAACCTGCCATACTACTTTCATGCGCAAACCAAAGACTCGCGATGGGAACCGCCCGCGGGCACCGATCCGGAGAAACTCAAGGCGTACATGGCAGCCAACCACAGCTCCAAAGGCGTTGCGCCTGCTGCTTCCGCGCCGACCGAAGGCAAGATTCGATGTGCTCATCTGCTTGTCAAGCACCGCGACAGCAGACGTCCCGCCAGCTGGCGAGAACCCAACATTACGCGTTCGGTAGAGGAGGCTCGCGAGATGATCAAAAAGTACCACGAGCAGATCAAGGCATACGAGCAGGGCCAGAGTGATGCAAATGCAAAATCGCTGTCTGAACTAGCAACGACCGAGTCGGACTGCAGCAGCGCCCGCAAAGGAGGCGATCTGTGAGTTGGCAGTGGGATTGGACAAGAGCTGGTTGGCTAACGATGAGCAGTGGTTTTTTTGGCAAAGGCGACATGCAGAAGGAGTTTGAGCAGGCAGCGTTTGCGCTTGAAAAAGGCCAGGTCAGCGACATGGTCGAGACGGCATCAGGAGTACATTTGATCCAAAGGTGGGATGACTATAACATGGGCTGATGACAGTGCTAACAAGAGGCGCGATATAGGCTGGAATAGTCGAGATGCCGTGCCAATGGCGCGAAAGAGAGGCGGCAGGCCCAAGCCATCAAGATTGCTTGCACTTGGACTTAGACTACTTGCAAAGCGCTGGGCAGGGTGATGAGGGATTTACTGGGGCGGATGCCGGCTATGCTAGATAAAAGGGTGTCAAGCGTGGCCCAGCGTCGCACAAAAGCGCTCAACACCAAACAATGATAACCATGAAGTGCAATGCTACCACGGTAGGCCAATGCAAATAAGAGTCGTCATAGTCTAGCAGCTGTCGCACGACCGAAACATGATGTGGGTGCCAGTAGTCTGTCGTCTGGCCGCTTGCACCATGACGTCTCGCACAGGCTCTTGCTGGAGCGACAAACAGGTTCTGCACCACTTGGTTCGCGTGCTGACGACAGACAGACCATGCGGACGTGCTGGCGAGCGAGCCATGGTTCCGCGGCGCCACAAGCAGCAGCAGCAGCAGCAGCAGCAGCGGGAGGGGCGAAGATGATGTTCGCGACGGTGCTGTTGACGGCAAGAGCAGGGCGAAGGCGAAGGGCGAGGAAGCTTGCTTTTGCGTCTTTTTGTCCGCCGTACAGACGATCACCACGTCGGTGGAAGCATGTTGCACGCTAATAGACGTCGAGCCGAGTCGAGTCGAGCAATTAGGTGCAGACGGGCGTCCGCGTCTCAAACACGCCCCGGCTAGACTTTTTGAAACACGGCTGCTTTTGACACCGTCGGGCACAGAGGAGCCCAGCGCACACACACACACAATACCCAGCCCAGCCCAGCCACATGCACTGTAAAGAGTACGCGGAGCAATCTCAAACCGTGTCAGCTCTGGGGGCTGCTGTCGGCATGCCGACGCACTGCGCCATGCCTCACCCTCAGCTGGCAGTTCCGGTTCATTCCGAGAACAGGATGCGGCGGCAATGACTGACGTTTCGCGTAAGTGGCTGCTTTGTTTTTTTGTTTTTTTTTTTGCCCTTGCCCTTGCCCACCTCAGTCCACATCAGCGCGCACATACTCAGATTGGCACCCACACATGCGCACACATATCCACCAACCGTTTCCGGGGGCATGCTCTAGCCCCAGACGGGCCTCTGGGCACTGCCTGGTGTGGCGCACTGCCAACGCGGTCTTTTTTGGACCGTCTTGCATGCTGATAGCGTGGCCGCAAATGCTATGCAGCAGGCGTGCAGCAGGCAGGGCAGACAAGGGCAGACAAGGGAAGGGCAGGACAAGGGCGTCCGAGCGTTTGGGCTCACTACCAACCGCCCATCCTTCTCCATCTTAGGCGTACCTTGGCTGCCCTTCACACGGCCACCGCAACGTTTTCCCTGCATGCTGGCATCTTCCTGGGAGCGCCGGCTTTGGGTTAAATCAATGGGTCTGCGCGTTCCCAACCACACCAGATGCGCCTCATTTGCCGCACACGGCGCTCGCTGCCCCATTGAGCCTGCGTTAGCATTTGACGTAGCTACTCGTCGGGTATATGGGAAACCGCCTAGCACCACCCTTTGATTCCCATCCGCACACCCAAACGCCGCCCGCACAGTACCCGCACCCCCCCTGCCTAAAACTCCACACTTCTTCCTGCTGACTCCGCTACGGGCTTCGATCACCAGCCCTCGCACGATCCTTTCACTCCCCCCCTTCTCACCTCTTTCCACCTCACGCACCTTGTGCCCTATTATATACTTTGTCTAGAAAGTTCCCTCGCTGCCTACAAATACTCCTGCAAGCCCCTGGGCCCCTTCTTGAGAGCACCGGTCAAGTACCACGCTACAGAGTCAGTTCACTGGCCCACTCCACTCTTCGTCGTGCGCACGCCACAGACCTGCTCAGTCGTACCATAATGCCCGCCATGGCTACTCCACAATCTCCAAAGCCCGTCTACAACAACCCCGGTCGCCCTCGTCGCGACAGCTGCCGGCCCATGGGTGGAGCGTCGCTGTCGAGGTCGTCGTCTTACCTCAATGCCGCTCGTGTCGCTGCTCCCAAGGACGGAGATGCCTTCAGCTACAACCCGGCCCACCTGCGCCATTGGTATTGCCCGCAAGAACTCTGGGATCGCCTTCCCGAGCAAGTCCAATCCAGCCTGGCCGCTCTACAACACGCTGGCGCTGCTGTTTTGACTGGTACGTTCTCACTCGACCCTGTCCCATTCTTCAATCACGTGTCGTCTTTGTCCCTCACGTGCATCTCTACCTCGGTCCGATATTAATTCCGCATAGGTTTCGAGCGACTCGACAAGCACTTGGAGAGCTCCGATGACAGTGATGTCGACGGCAAACCTGCCGCTGACGACTCGCTGGCTCAGCTCGATCAGCTTCCGTCGCCAAGGTTCCGCACAATAAGCAATGCCAGCAGCGTCTTTCATTCCGACTCATCTACGCCCCTCACCAGTGCCTCATCCACCTCTCAATCGGGAAGCGCGTCGCCTGTGGAATCATCACTCCCAGCCTCTCATCTCTTGTGCCCTGGCTCGCCCATCTCGCTCGGTGCCTCTGAGCGCTCTCGTTCGCGTGAGCGATCCTTCTCAACGCCGCTCAAGTCACATGATGCCTACTATGCAGCAGAGCTATCGCATCTGCGCACCGAGGCTCTTCCCCGTCTCCGGCACAAGACTTACAAAGTGGACTCTGCATGGTCCGAGGCCAAGCCTCACATGCATGCGGACGACATCAATGCCTTTGAGAACTGGTTGGCGGAAAAGAAGTGCGCGATATTGAGTCTCAGTGAGAGGGGCAAGCGCCTTGCAAAGGCTGTGGGTATTGCCGACACTGGGCTCGGGTGGTGTGCTCCGTAGAGAGGCTAGCGAGGCACACGTGCTTGGCGCGGCTTTCACATGGGATCACTCAGCGTGTCCAGCACACAACGTGGCATAACAGAGTCTTCTACAGGCTTTGGGCTGCCATGCGCTATTTTTTTCTTCTCTTTACTCTCTGTTATTGCTGTTCTTACTTTGTATGCATATTTAGCGCGGAGTTGGTTGGTATTTACCGAGATAGGGATCTATGCGGGAGCCGGAATCATCCCAACTCTACTTGGACTGGAAGGGCGTGTGGGAATTTTTTTGTTTGATGCGTCCCGGATAATGAGTAACCACTGAAATTGGACTCGTATTGCTGGTTGATGCCCTGCGGTATTTTTTTTTCCGCCGGCTGTGAACAAGTTGTTGCTTCGGGGTTGGGCCTGGCCGGCCAGGTTATTGTCAGGTGCAATTAGCGAATGATAATGTTTGCTTGATAAGTTTGTATGTATGTATGTGTGTAGTATGTGTGTAGTATGTGTGTAGTATGTGTGTGAGTATGTACTGCGCGCACTTGTGGTTGCTTGTGACAGGCGAGATGGAGCTGTCTCGGCCACGGAATGCTGCAATGGTTGCACCACAAGACCAGTCATGTGGCATTGCGAGTGCAGGAGTTGTGGCTGCCCGACGCACATTGCAGGAGATTCGGCGCGTCAATCTATCTTGAACCACGGGATGACAGGGCGGTTGTTGTTGTTGGGAACGTCGCAAAGACAAGGGCCAACCACCCACCCCTCCTTGGCCAGCATGTTGCCTGCAGCAACACGGGCTAACCCGATGCTAGACGACTACAACGACTACCATTTACTTACTTGCACACGCGGCAGCATTGCCCTACAGCATGTACTAGAGTTGAGTAGAGTACATACATAATCTATGTAGCATACATGTACGTACTGCAGCCTGCATCTCGGACTCGACGCAGCAGGTGTACCGCTTACGTCTCCATCAGCGCCCTCTCACTCTCACTCTGACTCTCACTCTGCTTACGCCAATCCAAAGCGTCTCGATCTCCCAATCTCTCGATGCCCCAAACGCGGCACACTTGGCGCATGCTGGTGTGATGATTTGCAGGCGAATCATGACGCATCTTGGAAAGAACGAGGCCAGGGTCCTCGGCCTGCCATTCGTCTGCCTGGACGCGGGCCCCAATCCTTCTCCTTGATCCCCAACACCACACCTACCGTTCCTGAAGCTTCGCCCTCCCGGCCCACCCTGCTCATCTTCGCCCCAGGCCTGCCATGTCTTTCAATATCCATCATCATCATCATCATCATCATCGTCGTCGTCGTCGTCGTCCTCGCCGTCGTCATCCGTATCGGCTCGAGCTTGTCTTGCTCCTTTTCGACTGCTGTCGGTCCTTCCGTATACTATGCTACCACCCAAGTTGAGTTTGTTGGCCATGTCCTTGTCCTGACTACCCAATCTACCACCGCCACGTCCTTTTACTATGCAAGTTATCAGTAAAAATCAGGCTTTGCAGCACTGCGACGCTTACCACTCCATTTGAGCCCGCCCCGCTGTCGTGAGTTTGACCACATCCAAGATTCATCCTGCCCTACTACGTCAAAATCACCACATTCATCGTCTCCGTGCGCCCCTCTTTGCTGACCGTCACGGTTACTGCTACTGCTACTGCTACTGCTACTGCTGCTGCTACTACTACTACTACTATCACCGTGACGTCCCAGCAGCATCCCTCCGCGGCCACCCGGAGCTTGCGAATCAACGGCCGTCCTTCGATTGCCTTCCACAGCACCCATGTCTTGTCGCTCTCCCGCTTTAGCCCCATGGTGTGATGTGGAGTTAGGCCGCATGGCTTTCCTCCTCCTGCTCATCTTCTCCTTGAGCATAGTCATGTGGGGCTCTATGTATCCATTATTCATCATACCGATGGCAGTACTATCAAATCCCATGTTGGTCATGTCGGTCATGTCGGAAATGTCATCCCCATGTCTGCGCATACCTGCAGCGGCCAAGCCACTAGCAATACCATGTGGCATTGGTCCGATTCCTGATGGAGCCACGCCGTGCAGATTATAGTTCGGCATGCCCATTTGTCTAGCCGTGCGTGCGTCAACATGGGGTCCGTTTGCCATGTAGTAGTATAGGCCTTGTCCAGATCCGGATGCCCCGAGCGAAGGCGGCCGTGCGGGGCTGTGCCCTCGATGTCTCTGACGACCTTCTTTCCTCATATTATCGAAACGCTCGTCTAGCGCTTCCAGTAAGTCGTCCTTGAAACCTTGAAACTGTTGCTGCAGTCTCTTCCTCTCCTCCCTGCCCCCATTCTTGTTCTTGTTCTTGTTCTTCCCCCTCCTCCTGTCTAGCCTCTCGCTACCGCTTTCGCTCTTCCTGCATCTAGTGCCGTGGTCATCACAGTCCCGCCCCAGGTCGTCTTTTAGTATGTATCGTATCTCCCCACTTGTGTACTCGTGGTCTTGAATGTTAAAGTTACTGCCGTTCTGTTGACGGTCCTCGCGTGCACGGTACAGGACTCGCTGGCTTTTTCGACACTTGCAATCTATGGTACAGATACAGGCGTCGAGAAAGGCATCGCCGTCCAACCACTCTTGGCCTGACGGCCCGGCCTTCTTGCCTAAAGACTGTCCACGGTTCAAACGTATCGAGGTTTGCGGATCGACATGTGAGCTCGGCGGTTTTCTTGCCTTGTTCGTATCTGTATAGGCGCCCATTGGCACATGCTCGTAGTGGTTCGGCCGCCCTCGTGGGACCGGCTGCGGCGGAAGAGTACCGTTACTCGATGGCGGACTACTACTAGGTAGTGGGCCAGGGAGGTAAGTTGGATAAGGACTGACTAAGCCTGTACCGGGCATCACCCCGTCTTCGTCGTACCCAACCAAATCAGGATTGGACGTGTACTCTGGAGGCAGGCCAGATGGCTGCTGGCCGCTTCCGATACCACTCGTTGGCACTCCTATTGGCATACCTGCGTACCCCCTTCCACCAGGCATCTCGGACGTCGACCTGGGTCTCGAGTCTAGGGTATCAAGCCGTCCAAACATACCCCTCGGTCCCATCATGCCCATGCCTTTGGTAAGACATCCTTTCAATCCTTCCTTGCATCTTCTGGCCTCTGCATCTACCATCACGTCGCCCAGTGTGTTCTCACCATCTCTACTTGTCTCCTCTGTTATATCAATGTCGGTTCCTCCTGTGCCATATCCATATCCCAGCGTGTTTTGCCCCCTCCTACCTCGTGCTCGTCCTCTAGCGTACGGTGCGTATATGGGGCCGGTAGCACTACGTGTATAGGGGCCCAGCTGTGTTCGAGAGTAAGATGGGGGTGGATGAACTGTAAATGCTGTCCCTGCCAATCGGGGAATACAAAATTTAGTTACAGTGTATCAATGGACGAAAGTGGGGCGAAGTGGACGTGGGAAGTAGAGCGCGTAAGTGTGGCGAAGAGGGGGACGCGCGGAAGAACCAAAAAAAAGAAGAATGGACAAGGGATATTCACCTACCTGGAGGAACAAGCACCTTGCCTCTTGGAGCGCTGACCTCAATAAGAGGCGGCGGTGTCGAATGCGATGAGCCCATGTTAACCCGTCTTTATCTTTTCTTCTACTAGTAGTGGTAGTAGAACGTGAAAAGAAATATAACGCCCTCTTTTCCCCTTCTCCCTTAACTTTCTTCCAAGTAGCAGCAGTATACTCCTTTTTGTTTTGTTTTTGTTTTTCCAAAAATCCCCCCCCCTTTCCTTCACCGCCCAGGAAAAAAACGATGCCAGAAACAAATGGAATATCAAGATATTAATTACTCCGAAGTATTGAGATTTCCCCAAAATAACATGCAAAAGTCGGCAAAAAAAATTCGAAGGTGAAAGAAAAAAATCAAGATTGAAAGACGAGTGAGGATGTCTCCTTGTCTTGCCCTGAGATTCAGTCATAGTAATTTCCCAACCTCCCCTACAGGGTGCCCGTTTGCAAATCTCCTAGTCATTTGACCACCGTATTCTGATTATTTTTTTTTGCTTGCTTGCCTGCTTACATGCTTGTTTCCACCACGCTGTCGTGTCACCTCTACACGAATACGTGCTACATATGTAGTACAAGCTACGTCTCACAGCATCTTCTGTATTCTTCATTTTCCCGTCGTGCAAAGATTCTGATTTTTTTTCTTTTCTTTCGGCACCCAAATTCTGGGCTGTGTGGAATCATGTATACACATGAAAATATAGGAATGAGAATGGTTGGCGTGTTCGTTGAGTGAGATATGATTTGTGTCGTTTAACTAATGGAAGTGCTGAATTGGTGAATGTATTTTTTTTAATAATGCAAGGACACACAGTGAATCCATTGAATTGAAAAACAATTGTCATTCCAAGGCAGCAACAGAATAAGATAGTCGATGCATTGAATTTCCACCTATTTCACGATGAGCAGTATTTCAGTCTGATTGTGAGTAGATACATCGCCTACTGTCATGTCGCGCAGACATATCGGGAGGGGCAATGGTTCACCGTTGTGCATGGCAGGGCAATTACACATGCCAATATCACACAGACTTCGATACGCACACACAAACAAAATCGCTACATCACATGCCAAATAATATTGCACAAGTTGAATCACTCAAGTCATTTATTCACCTCTTCCTCAGCTTGCTAGCAAACTTCTGCACTACATCATCATCGCTAATCAAATCATTACGCAGAATCTCGTGGTCCCATAGCCGCCAACGCCAAAGCCATCCAATACCCGTTCAACACTAACAAGAAACGAAAAAAGAAGAAGAAGCAACGACAGCAAGATGCAACAAAGAACGAAAAAAACTAGGAAAATGCTAGACAGCAAACACAGCGCGAACCACACGCCCATAACTTCGCGCCTCTCCATCATCAACGCGCACGTACAAAATGAAAACAGTCGCTTCGGTTAGCGTACGGATCTGTTTGATTCGGGAAATGGATGCGCAGCACCCACGGCCGTCATACTTCGTCGCAACTTCCCACATGCCCACATGCCCAATTTGAGTCGGTAGGAAAACGAAGAGCGGTTGCAAAGCTAAAACGCAAGGAGATGCCAGTAAATAAAGTGAATGTCCGAGAATGCAACTAGAGAAAGGGGTATCGACGATGAAGAGAAATGAAGTGACTTTTAGAAAATCATCGATCGAACCTGATCTCTACGTCCCGCCTTTGCAGCAGACTCCTGTGTTCGCGGCCTTGGAGGCGGCGCATGTGACATGCGCATATCCTTCAGAGGTGGAGCTGGTGCGTGCGATTGCGTTCGGGCATGACCCTTGACAGGGCTGGGGTTGGGTCTGGCCGAATGGACATCGTGCGATTGAGTGCGTGCGTGAACCGGACGATCAATATTTGAGTTTGAAGTAGGAGACCCCAGCTGGCCTCGCTCCTTGCGTTCCTTGCGTTCCTTCTCAAGGACCATGGCGGCCCAGCCCTTGTTCTGCGCAATATCCTTTCCGACAGTCTCAGAAAGAACCTTCATCCAAGCCTCCTTTTGGTCGCGGCTATCGGCATAAAAGTCAATGACCTCGCCGTTGGCGAAGCGGATGCGGAATCCCTCCTCGACAAACATATAGCCTTCTTCGTCTTCCGCGAATCCAGACTTGCGGCGGCCACCAGACTTGGTCGCAGAAGGCTGTTGAAGAGCGGACTTGTCATCCATGAGCTTAGAAGCCTTTGCCAGGTTGATAGTAGCACGTGGTTGACGAGTGGACTCGTGATACGCAGTGAGCTTTGTGCCTTCCAGACGGAAGAATCGGCGACGCCAGTACTACAGCATATTAGTTTGTATTTGTGAATGGCCAATGCAGGAGGTACTTACGGGACAATCGCCACCTTGCTGGCTTAAGGTACCTTCGAAGCTAATGTCCTTGACTTGTTCAGCCTCCTTGAGTTCACGAATGCAAGCATTCATGCTCTTGGGCATATCCTCATCCTTGGAGTTCTTCGGCTTGGGCACATACAACAGCTGAAGAGTTAGCTTGCCAACCCGATAAGGGGGACGACGAACAACACCACCACGCTTGCTCTTCACACTGCTTCCGCCCGTGTTGTCAACGGCCCACTCGTTGAAGCAGGGAACATCGACAGTCAAGGGGCGACCATATGCTTGGTTCTCGTAGTTGCTGAGGCAGACATAGGCACGAGCAAACGATCCATCCGAACCAACCAAGTCATGGAGGAGGTCCCAGGCAGTTGCCTGGTAGTTGCGCTTAGCAGCAGCCTGAGCCTCTTGCTGTTCTTGAAGGGCGATGCGATCGGCCTCCTCTTGAGCCTTGCGCTCTTGCTCCTTCCTCTTCTTGGGTGATGAGAGGAGATTGCGGAAGGCCGAGTGCGACTTCTTGTGATTGACAATCTTGGTGGGTGGAGCAACAACCTGCTGCACCGCCGGAGGCTCAAGCTTTGTCTGCAGGGTGAGTTGGAACTCGAGATCGTCCAAGACGACAAGCTCAAATTCTTGACCAATCGGAGCTGACGGGGAAAGCTCCAGCCAAGATGTGGTAACACAGTGCAGACCATTGTCGAGAGTCAGTTGGAAATTGACGCGCTCCTTCTTAGGTAGAGGAAGATCGAGATCCTTGACACCAACCACCTTGACAAAAACTCTGCCGCGCTCCTCTCCATCTTCAAACTCATCAACAACGCCCTGTTCAGCCACAGCGTCGAGACCACCCGCGACAGCCGAGTCCTGGCCAGGTAGAGGCGGAGCCGGGCCCTCGGAGGTCCGCATTCGCCGACCCGATGCAGTTCGGATGCTCTTGCGTCGAGGCTTGCCATTCCACGGTTCTTTCGTCCAAGGCTTGCGCTCAGCACTAGCCTTGCGAGTTCCAGTTTTGGTAACTACGATCTCAGGCGCAGCATCAGTTCCAGTGGGCGGCTTCTCGTCACTGAACTGACGGCTGCTGGCAACAACAACCTTCTTGTTCTCACGCATCATGTATCCCTTCTGTTTGTAGGCGTTAGTAAACAGATCCAATGGAACAAGTTGAAGAACAACTTACCTTTTGTGCAGCAATGATGTGATCAAACTCCTTGTCGAGGCCGAAGCTGAGGTCATTCGAGTCATCACCAAGGTTAAGATCAAGCATGCGTCTCTCTCTTGTCCCAATGCTGAGCTGTGAATCTTCATCATCAACATGGCCCGGCTCAAGGCTCATAGACTGGCGTTTAGGGCTTCGCTCAGGGACGGGAGGAGCATAACCACCACTGACATGGCGACGCGTGGCTGCCATGTCAACCTCATCGGGGATGAGCGAAGGTCTAGTCTTCAACTTTCCACCTGCACCCCGAATGGTTGCTTCACGCTGAGGAACCTCGATATCTTCTTGTGGAAGGGGTGATTGAGGAATGGGGTGTCGAATGACGGAGTCTGGGGTGCTAGGACCTTCCGATCCGGACTCGTCATCCTGACCTTCTGCCGGTTCTGGGGTAACAGGCCGACGGAGAGCATCACGCATAGCGTCCAGCTTAGGAGCCTTGTCAAGTGGGTTTGCAGGTGTATCGACTGTAGGCTTCTCGGGGTCGAGGCTGAGATCCATGTCCTTGCCGTCAATGTTTGAAAACATCTCGTCTTGCTGAACCTGCTTGTCCTCGACAACTGGTGAGGAGGGAGCAACAGTTGGTGTTGATGGGCCGGAAGAGTCGATGGTACTCTGGGATGTGGGCTGCTCCTCAGGCTCAAGAGAATATTGACTAGTGTCATCCTCGTCGTCGGACGCTGGTGGCATGGGGTGGTGGATGACGGATGAGTCGCGCTCATAGTCTTCAAGTTGAGACATGGAGCTACCGTCTACGTCTGTTTCGTCATCGTGGTCACTGTGTGGCACATCGCCATAGCTATATGCATCCACTACGCTGTCTGCCTCACTCTGAGAAACACCAGAGGCTTGTCGTGGGTGTTCGTCGAAGTTGGAAGAGACCTCACGCGAGGGGATGGGGACATCGGGATCAAGATCAGCGAGGTCTCCATAGCTGCGCTCAGGGCTGTCGTCGTGATCGAAGTTGCTGTATTCAACCTCGGAATCGTCGTCTTCACCATCCTCAAAGTTGCGGCTCTTGACACGACGGAGGATGGAATCGCGGGATATGCGGGGCGCAGATCTCGGCTCATCAGGGGCAGTC